GATAATTTAGCTGTTCAAAATGAAAAAATTATGAAAGAATTACTTAGCCATTCTGACATACAGATTTAATTTACAAAATGTTTGACTGTCCTTAAAAACGAACACAGCTACTTACCCCATCAAGTTTTTTTTTTTTCTTTTTTAAAGAGCTTGAATTTTCCACTTTTCAAGTATGTACCTACCTTCACAGTTTTGATAGTGTCTCCCTTTACCTGAGGAAATTATTTGATAAACTAGACAGTATTGAATAGTATACTTAAAAGCCATTGATACCAACATTCAGTTTTAGAAAAAGAGGATGGTAATTAAAAATGCCTCCTTAGAAATCACTGTTCTTCCCATATGCATAAACATGAGCAAACTCCATGTATGTGTGCACAAACCTGTGTTGGAGGCAGGGTAATGAACACAGTCAACATTAGAATCTGGGTTTTAAAAATCATGCCATTTGTTTTCACATCAAAAATGCAAACCTACAGATAAGCTAGTTATATTCTCTGGGTGGCTATTTACATTTAGCTACAACTTTGTGAATTTAGCTACTTTGTGAACATTCTGAACCATATACTACTTTTACACTGCTGACTCCGTTAAGAAAATCTTTTGTGTGACACATATGGGTCCACCCAGATGACCATACAATGAACTTAAAACACCATCATTGATCTTACTAATTGCATCTGCCACTTCACATGGTTCTTGCTTCTACTCCGCTTTCTTTCCAAACACCGTTCCAATTGTTAAATGGTCAGAATACACAAAGTGACAGATTTAGTGCTTCCCTGGCAATTTATATAACTGACTGCAACTCTGTTTTTGCAGTGAATCATGATTTATTTGTCTCGCAATGCAGCACATAACCTTTTAAATGCTAGGGAAAAAAATGCCAGTGCTTCTTTAAAGTTTATATATGACTGCCCACCACCATTCCTCATGAACGCGTTTTTGAGAGACAAACGATAAAAACAAGCTGCAAATTCCACCCACCTACTCCCGGCCATTTCCTGCGTTCATCACTCACAAGTACTGTATTTACAGACAGGCACCCTCACGGAGAGCACCAGTGCACTCTTCTAGACCCCTCTTTTCCTCCTGGGCAAGAATATTTTTCTTAAATTAGCGATAGGTATTCTCTGCTAAACACAGAGGAGGATAATACTGATCTCCCCCAGCCCTCTTACTGGCGTGTGCCATGCTCAATCACATCAGGTGAAATTCAGAGCAGGCTGCGGGGTTTTATTTATTGGTATCTCTCTCCATTCCAAAATTGTGATCCCAATGCCTGTCTGTGGCCTTTTCTCATACCCTACTCTCCATGCCTTCTGCACTTATTTCTATTACCTTTAAAAACCAGTTTAATGTACTCCTCCACTTCTCCTCATTCAAATACACTGTTTTATTCCGGTGTTTATGTTGTGTCCATCTCCCTGGTAAATGAACATCTAATGACTCATTGGTGTCCACCAGTGCCTGAACTAAGCCAGTCAAAAGCCTTCAGCACCTTTAATTATGAAAGTGATAATGAGAGAAGAAAGATTGTTTACTTTAAGTGGAACAGCAGTACCTCCAATTAATGCAAATAGGACCTGCTCATTGAAAAGCTATTTATCCAACATGCACAGCACAAAGTATTTGCATAGTTCTCCTTACATTATAATTCAATTTTAAAAATTTAGGAGGGACAACTCAGAAAGCAGATAAAATTGTTTTCCCCTCAGATGGCGACTATGGAATTAGCAGTTCATTCATTAGGGTATAACACTCACATACCACCTTTCACTGGCAGACTTTAAAACTGTCTGCAAAGGTGTGCTTCTCTAAATTGCCCTAGTTTGCAGAAGAGAAAACAGGGCTGCAGAGATGAAGTGACTTTTTCTAATCATTCAGCAGATTCATGCTTGCCTGTGGCCTGCTGCTACATGATTTCAAACAAGCCCTCCAAATCTCAGCCTGGTGCTCCATTTACTAAAATCCATTCCCTAAATGTTTGCCTATATATTTAAAAAACAAGCAAGAACATTGCTTTGCACAGTAAATATGCTTGCAAGTTGCACAAGTTACAAATCTAGACTTCAGTGTAATGTTCTCTGGAAATATACCCCAAAATCTAGACTATTTTAAATATGTGACATAGTTCTAGTGCTACACATGGCATAGACTGCAATAAATATTATGCCAACTGATCATGAATAAGCATCTTGGGCAAGACCATAAAATGAAACATTTGTAATTTAATACATGAAAAGAAAATATAATTTGTAGAATAGCATATGAGTAATAAAGAACAGAGGTAACAAGGACTTAAGCTGTGTCAGTGCACCTCATCCTGACCAGGTGGGGCAAAATTACAAGTCCTTTTTCTATATTGTTCTATACTGCAAACAAATGTTAACTAAAAGGAAAAGTGCTTCCCTTGGCCATCCTGAGTTTTGCAGGTCAGTGCAAAATAAACATCAAGAATTTTGTTTCAAACATTTCCATTTGGCTTGGACAATGATGATAAAACCATTTGAAGTGAATTTGCTGTTACGCTTGTAAGGCAGCAGCATGTTTAGGACATTTAATTAGCCACAGAAGTTGGTTAGACTCAGTGCAGCATTTAACTTCCACTTTCTAGAAAAAACGAAGGCTATAATTTAGGAAGCTACATAAAAGTATATTTGCAGATACTACATGCTTCTGAACTGTTACTGCTGTTGAAAAAGACTTTAGAAATAAATATGACTTTGACAAAAAGCTAAAGAAGGACCTGTGTCAAAGAATAAACATCTGAAATTAACGAAACAAGAACAACTTTCATGTACCAGTGGTGAGAAAAAAAAAAAGGCAAAAAACCTCAGCATCATGTAGTCCACTAAATTGATAAAAGACAAAAAACCCACGCTGGACAAACAAATAAGAGTCAAAATAAGCATCTTCCCCCACTTCACAGAAAAAAAGCAGACACTTTGCTGTATGAAACAAAAAGCATAGATTGCAGACTGTCATGTTTATGCACACAGCTGCCACATTCTCTAATGGGTTCAAGCAAGTTATTATGACAACAATTTTGCTTTGTCATGCTAACTTCAGTCACTATCTTTCTGAGTTTTGGGAACTATTATTTGGAAGGTACTATTAAAAACAAAGAAGCTTCCTGTACTGGGTTTGTGTGGCGGGGTTTTGGTAGCGGGGGAGGGGCCGCAGGGCCGGCTCCTGTGAGAAGCTGCTGGAAGCTTCCCTGGCTCCAAGTCGGACCCGCCGCTGGCCCAGGCTGAGCCCATCAGTGACGGTGGTAGCGCCTCTGGGAGAACAGGTTTAGGAAGGGGAGCTGGTAGTGAGCAGGGGGATTGGAATGGGAGAGGAACCCCTCTGCAGACACCGAGGTCAGTGAGGGAGGAGGGGGAGGAGGAGCGGGGGAGGAGGGGATGCCCCTGCAGCCCGTGGTGAGACGGCAGGCTGTCCCCCTCCCGCTGGAGCAGGATCCTGGCAGGACCTGTGGCCCCGTGGAGAGAGGAGCCCACGCTGGAGCAGGTTTTCTGGCAGGACTTGTGACCCCATGGGGGACCCACGCTGGAGCCGTGTGCTCCTGAAGGACTGCACACCGTGGAAAGGACCCATGCTGGAGCAGTTCATGTAGAACTGCAGCCCGTGGAAAGGACCCACACTGGAGAAGTTCATGGAGGACTGTCTCCCGTGGGAGGGACCCCACGCTGGAGCAGGGGAAGAGAGTGAGGAGTCCTCCCCCTGAGGAGGATGAAGCAGCAGAAATAACGTGTGATGAACTGACCGCAACCCCCATTCACCATCCCCCTGCGCTGCTGGGGGGCGTAGGTAGAGAGTCCGGGAGTGAAGCTGTGCCGAGGAAGAAGGGAGGGGTGGAGGGAAGGTGTTTTGAGATTTGGTTTTATTTCTCATTATCCTACTGTGATTTGATTGGTAACAAATTAAACTGATTTTGGTTTCTTCCCCAAGTCAAGTCTGTTTTGCCCCTAATGATAATGACGAGTGATCCCTCCCTGTCCTTGTGTCGACACACGAGCCTTTTGTTATATTTTCTCCTTCCTATCCCACTGGTGGGGAGGAGTGACTGAGCAGCCACGTGGTGCTCTGTTGCTGGCTGAGCTTAAACCATGACACTTCCCTATATAACAGTCCACAATAACATGAAACAAGGAATAAACCCTGTGTAACAAGTGTTTCAACAACAGGTAATTAATGCAGATACATTATTCCCAACAAAAATATTTTATGACAATCTTTAAAAAGATCTGAAACCAAATTCTGGCTTGGGACAAACAGGCACAACTTCTACTGAAGTTAATGCCCCTCACATAAAACGGAATACTGCAATACAAATTCAGCAAAATCGATACTTAGGTTTCAAAGAAAAACTCTACCTTATAGGTTGAAAGAAGCCACTTGTAATCATATTTAAATGGCCAGTATCACAAATTCAAAGTACATCAACCAGTTGTACCTCTTTAAGTGAAAAAGCTGTCAACTCACCAAGAAAGGTAGGCTACTGAAACAGAAAAATGAAAAATTCCTCTGATTTAGCTATATTTTACGCTAGTTGATCAAACTTCCATTTTTATGGGCATAGTCACAAAAAAGCCACTAATGCCGCTGTCATTTTTGCTTAATACAATTTTGGCTGATCCAAATAGTATTCTCAAAACCCAGCCAGAGACAACAATAGCTTTGCAGACCCGGTATTTATGATATGTTATACAAAGCAAGATGCCATATACAAATTGGCCATCAGGTGTACTAATACACAAGGAAACATAACATGTAAAAAACTAATAAAAACAAACACACATCGTCTTCTGGCCCCTCCTGCATATCCAGTAGGAGTGAAAAAGTGAGCGTTTCTCAGAGGGAAGTAAATATTAGCAGCAATGACAACTTAAGCATAATCATTTCCTAGAGTTTAACAACTAGTTTCGTTTCAGAGGAAACAGAGTACACCATTATTGCTATTATTCAAATAAATAAATGATCATCCATAATCTTACCTAGTTCTGGGGGCAGCACAGTAAGACGATTTCCCTGGATATGAAGTTCCTTAAGCTGAGTGAGCTCACCAATTTCTTTAGGCAGTGATACCAGGTCATTGTCTCTAAGACTCAGCTGAGAGTGAATATAAAGTAGTCAGAACAATTTTCAGTTACCATAAAGCAGCCTAAAAAGAACTCTACTCCCTCTGTCCCCACCTTTCTCCTAAACACTCAATTCTTCCAATTTATTTACAAGTGTCTGCTGGTAAACAAGAAACAGTTCCAGGTGTAGTGGTCTATTCCTGCAAACATACCCTACTACTCCTCAAATTGACTAGTTTCTATTCCTACAAGCATTGCAAAAGTGAATTGATTTTCCAAGAATTTAGATAAATTACTTACTATCTGCAACTTTGTGAGCTTCCCAATATCTGGCGGCAGGATTTCAAAATCGTTGTCACTTAGATAGAGTGCACGCAGGGTGGCTGCAAATTAAATAGCAATATATAAACAGGGTGGCATATAACCCAACCATTTGAGGTCTAATCAATAAAAGGGAGTCAGGTTTGATTAATAATCCTGACTTGGTGAAAAGCCTTTGACATACCCAGGGCTCACAATAATAACAAGCAGGTCAAACTTAGATTTACTGGCTTATTGTATTGTTGGTGAGTTCAGGAAAACATCTATATTCAAAAGGACTGGCACAATTAACAATTTCTACAATAGTAGACTCTGGCAAGGACTGGCACAATTAACAATTTCTACAATAGCAGACTCTGGCAGGTTCTGGCATATAGTCTCAATGCTCAGCTGTCAGAATACAGTCATTACTCTTTATTACCCCCGATTCTTATTTATTACATCAATTTGCATTCTAAACAAACATTTAAAAAATCATCTGAGTTTTTCGGACAAATACACATATATGTTAAGCTCTATAGAAAGCACAGCCTAACACCAGTAGAGGGATCTTAAAAGAGAGCAACACAGAAGACTCAAATTGTATAATTTGTAATTTCCATGCTTAGTCTCTACAAAAATTCACAGAAAAAGAGATGACCCAGCACAACCATGTAGCTTATTATTACTGAATGAGCATACATGACAGTTTGAAAAAAAAATTAAAATGGAGACTCATAAAGAACTGTTGGGTGTCGCGGGAAGGAAGGTGGTCAAGTCAGCAAAACCTCTCCTCCCCGCCAGAGAGGAGATCCTATTTGTCTTACGCAGTTTACTCCTCCTCCTCTTTTCATTTCATTAAATGTGACCATTTTTAATAATGCTGACTTAAAAATTTCCCTCTGCCTGGTTACAATCATGAGATCTCTCAGCGGCACTGCTTCCTCTCCCCTCGCCCATCACTTTTGCTGCTAAATGCACTGATCCTGAAGCCACTTCAGGATAGTACACTGAAAAGACCAGTAAGGTAGCAGAATCACTGAAATCCCGAAAGTGCCAGAATTCTAAGTTGCTTAGGCAACCATAAAGCAGCCCTTTTGCACATATGCGTTACAATACCTTTATTTTAACTCTCTGTGTATTTTTAACATGTGCAAAGGTCAGCTTAGCTCTACCATTCCTGTGCCAAGCTTTGTAACCTTAGCATAATTTTTAACATACTGGACACTTCAACATCCACATGCTGTTAAAACTATTTCAGTAATGAACCATTACGAACACAATTGTTTCCAGAGACAATGCACAACAGTTGCCTTGCAAAACAGTTTACTTTTCCCTGAGGCTTGCATGCTTCCATGAAGTTTTAAGTTTCAACTGAGTATGGGACCCAAGGAAATATTACTCAGAAGAAAACTAATATACCATTACTAACCCAGTCTTCTCATGTCCAATGGTGTCAGGTGATTGTATATCAGTGATAAATATTGCTGAGCTATGTAGAAATATTCAAGAGACATTTGAAGAAAAACATAAATATCAGAAAAATTCTGTTGGAGTTTGGACTCCATCAAATAAATTTCAACTGCAGAAAGCAAAGCACCATATCATGAAGATTTGTAGAGTTTTTAGAAAAGTTTCTTACTCAGATAGAAGAAGTTTCCTGGTAAAGAATTTTCATTTAAGTTGTTGTAAGTCAAGTCAAGAACCTCTAGAGCTGGTAAAGAGCCAAATCCCCTTGGCAAGGTGTTTAACCTGTTCATGCTGTAGGTAAAGAGGAAAAAACAGAACATGACATCAGTATTTACTTCATCTAGTGGGAGTAACACAGGCAACAAGAGTTTAATTTCTAAAAAATGTAATCTACACCAAGCTTCCCTTTTGTTTTGAAAAGGGGTTGATGCTACAAGATATTGAGCAAGCCTTTTGTGATGGAGACCTTTTTTTATCTCTCACTCCCATAAATATGCCCAAAACTCATGCACTTGCAAGGGATCCTGTCTGTTATGTCAATCAACAGCCACACCTGAAACGGGAAGCACAAAGGAGAGAGGTGCCACAGTGCTATGCTCAGCTTAAACAGTGTGCCACAGAGAAAACTGGTCCTTGGTAGATTACTTGTCTTCTAGCTAAACTACAAATTACCCTTTTGCACATCAACTTGACCATCTGCCATTCCGCCATACCACACAGCTCTTCACCACGGTACCAAAACCAAAGAGGAATACCTCAACTCCATGGTATTTATGTTCCTTGATAACTGCTGCTCAAACCCCTTCTTAAGAACAGCAAATTTTTGTCACTAGATAACTATTGATGCACATGGAGCATGAAATAAATGTCAGTCCCCTGACTGATGAGGCTTAGCGTAAATATAGCTTGTTCAGCCAGTCTTAGAGGGTTTAGGATAGCAGTTCCCACTGGCAACAGCCAGAAGAACATGGGGAAATCTAACAGAAGGAAAAGATTTCTCTGATAACCTGGAGCAGACAAGCTACAGAAAACAGTAACTTTTCTCTGACCTCAAACGGCTTGAACAAGGTGATCCAGATAATCACTAGAGCTGCTGTGATGACAAAGGCAGGCAAGGAGCTGGAGACTATATTAATAGAACCTTACTGTTTGTGTTTGAGCTAGAGCTCTGGCTGGTTATCATATGAACAGAAAAGAACCATGAGCTTATTATTCACATGGTCTCTACTGCATGTACACCAAACATACAGCTTGCATGTATGGATCTTGCTTCAGTTGTCAACTGGGTTTGAAAGTGGAACAAAGAAGACAGGCATCTTTAGGAGAAGCATGTAGAGGTAGCTATTTTGGAGAACTGGATTTTATTCTTCTGTGACAACTGGAAACAATCATGACTTTTCACGTGTTACCTCTAAATATATTCTGAATTTGACCCTCCTTCTGATGCAAAAATGATAAATAGTAATAGCCAAAAATGAAGTCAAGAGGAGATGTAATGTATGAAGCATGATGTAACACTAAAAACTATGAAAACTCAAGTAGAAGTATTGACAAAGTTGGGTACCCCAAAATAATAAAGACTTCTGGCGCTAATCTCTGGGCCTTCCCTCCCAAATGCAGCGTTTGTCAAACACTGTGCTATGCTATGTGATAAGTACTATGAAATACATCTGTAGGACAGTTAAGCCCATCTTCTAAAAGTTCTTTGGACACTTAGAAGACAAAAGCAGCTGCACCTCCAGACTAAGCATGATAACTACACATCCATGTGAGCAAAGGCAGGAGAAGTACATACAACATTTCTTTCACAGATGCTCAGATACTAACCCCACCTCTCCTCTCCCACTTTTGCATAAGCGAGCCTCACCAGAAGAACAACATGTAGAGATCAGCTCTCTGTAGCTAAACCCTAGATGAAATACTCTTCCTCCACATCCCCCATAAGGGTCCTACCAGGGACATGCACCTAGTATTTCTGTTGTAGTAGCAGCTATTAAAATACAGAAAGGCATTCTCCACTCTTGCTACTGCAGACTTGCCACTGTTTTTAAAACTGTTCTGTATATCAAATAGGACTAAATAAAGCAGCTCCTTTTTCACTAGTAAAACAAATAACTGGCCCTGACTGCCTTTCCCTTTTATAAGCAAGGAACAGGGAGAGAAAGAGTGTTCCCCCTATTGACAACAGGCAGAATGGTATGTATTCTTTGGCATGGAAAAAGAATCAGCTGAAAGTCCCTGCCCAGCACTATTCAGCCCTGTACAAGTTCAAACATTGAGCTTGTGCAACAGAAACTGTGCCACACCTGCCTTCCAATTTTATTTTTTTTTAAGCTTTCAGTGTAGCAGTACACGTTCCCTCTTTCCACCCCACCGCTTGACCCTTCTGCACCAAAATCCTCCCAAAAATAATCTACGCTTTTATTCAAGCTTCCCCTCCCCCAACAGAGGGCTGTTCTGATGCACCGTGTGTACACATGCACTACAGATGACAAGAGGGTTTCTGGGCTGCCCCCCAGCAAACTACTAGGGCAGAACAGTTTCCTTTTCACTGACTCCAAGGACCTCTGAAGCAGAACCCATTTTGCAGAGCTAAGGCTGGCCTGTAAATCCTGTGCCTGGAAGATTATGGTTAAGGAGGAAGGAGGATTAAGAAGGAAGAGCATTTAATCTACAACATCTTGGGCCACATGACAATGAAGGTGGCAACTGTGGTTCCAGACCTAAATGTCTGCTGGTCTTAACCCCAAGTGGACTTTTGCACTACATTTTTTCCATTAATGAAGACCAGTATTTGAACTACACTAACACTCGTCACTGCTTTAATCCATGGAAAGAGCCCAACTTCTTCCTCCTTCCATACACTTGTATATGCCATTCAAAAAATATGGATTTAACCTCAAAGATAAATAGAAACCTGATAATGAATTAATATTTGCTCTGAAAAGCAATTCCAGGTTCAAACAGATATTAAGGCATGCTAGAGATCTAAAGTGACCAAATAAAGACCACAGAAGACAGATCATCATGAAAACATTTATTGGCATTCCAATGGTTCAAGATGCAATTCAATTATCAGAACTTTACAAAGGTATCTAAAACAGGATGCACAGAGCCCAGCCAAAACCATTTGGTATTGAAAATAGTAAAAAAAATTCAGTTTAAGGTGTTCAGAAGTTTGAATTTATAAAATACATTCTTTCTATGGGAAGCCTATAAAGCTAAGGCTTACCCCCACCAGTGCTTTACTAAGTAGCTTAATATGCCCAGTTAGTTTTAAGAAGGTTCTGTGCTTCACATTTATTTTCTTAATTCAAGAAAGCCTTCTGCAACTGTAGCTATTATAAAGTATCAACAACTTTGCTGGAATATAATATCTGAACACTCAACATGAATGCCTCTGGCTCAAATTCAGTCAATACTAGCTCTTCAAATTAAATGCACACCACATTTAAAGATCTGCTGCTTCTTTTACAGGTCTAATAGAATTTGAAAATTTCTTTAATCCCAAATTTAGGACTTTGGAATTAAAGTCCTAAGTTAACATGGAAAAATTAGCATTTGGGGGTTTTTTGTTTGGTTGGTTAGGTTTTTTGTTTGTTTGTTTTACAAAGCAGAACACAAAATAGAGCCTGGCTTTTATGCAGCAACCACAGAATTAAGAGACAGTTGCTAGGGAAGTAAAATTCAATAATTAAGTCTGACTTCAGTATTAGATGAATGTGAGTAGCTGTTGCCCTTAAATGGTTATCAGTATACCAGAGTAAGTGCTTGATCACTTTTAAGTATCCGATTATCCAGGACACTAGCTAAAGACTTTGAAGCCATAATTGCAAAGTTATCCTCACAAACACTTTCAAAAAGAAATTTAGTAGCAAAAAATAAGAAGTTTCAGGTTCAGTTGTGACAACATCTGACAGTACCTCTTTTACAGCAAATTTTTGCATTAAGATACGCACCCAAGATTCAGGTGTTTGAGCTTCTGAAGGCTGCTGATCTGTGTAGGCAGCTCCTCAATCTGGTTGTTGAAAAAGTTGAGCACTTCTATGTTTCTCAGGTCTGCGATGTTTGCTGGCACAGCTGTGGGATAGTTTTCACAGTGAGAGACTGCAATTTGAGCAAGCTACCTAGACTATAGATGCTCTACTAGCACCTGTCTTTTGCTCTGTTTGTACAGTGGCTGATGGTAGAAACAGCATCTAATAGCTATTGCAATAAAAGCAAAGTTCATATCAAAACCCCTCCTTATCTGGAATCTGTTCCTATTGCTGAGAGCAGTCACTTTGTACTCTTCAGAAAATTACTACCAGTACTGTAAGATATTTTGACTAACAAAGGCCTTTGCATAGAGAGACAAGGACAGCAAATGCTCTCATAGACTAACTGTCGTGGTTTAACCCCAGCCAGCAACTAAGCACCACGCAGTCACTCACTTACTCCCCCACCACCCAGTGGGATGGGGGAGAAAATCGGGAAAAGAAGTAAAACTCGTGGGTTGAGATAAGAACAGTTTAATAGAACAGAAGAAACTAATAATGATGATGGTAACACTAATAAAATGACAACACTAATAATAGAAGGACTGAAATATACAAATGATGCGCAGTGCAATTGCTCACCACCCACTGATTGACACCCAATTAGTCCCTGAGCAGCGATCCCCCTGCCCCCACTCCCCCCAGTTTATATACTAGACGAGATGTCCCATGGTATGGAATACCCTGTTGGCCACTTTGGGTCAGGTGCCCTGGCTGTGTCTTGTGCCAACTTCTTGTGCCCCTCCAGCTTTCTCGCTGGCTGGGCAGGAGAAGCTGACATATCCTTGACTTTAGACTAAACACTACTTAGCAACAACTGTGTTGTATTATCAACATTCTTCTCATACTGAACTCAAAACATAGCACTGTACCAGCTACTGGGAAGACAATTAACTCTACCCCAGCTGAAACCAGGACACTAACAAAGATAAGCAGGCTGTCATCTGAGTTCATGTAGCACACACAGGTCTCAAAAGAGCAGAGCCTAAGAGACTTGGATCATTTCATTATTTGAGTTGAAAAAATACAAGTAGTTACACCAAGACAACAGTTTTATTAAGGGTCTTTAACAGCAAACATGAAATAAAAATCCATTTTTAGCGATGGCCCATTCTACTTACTGCTTAAATAATCTAGTATCCAAGTTCTTGTCCATTTAAGATACAGCAACATTTACAAAAGTAAGTTCAGCCCTAAAAGATGAACTGTTCAGCCAAGCCCTCCCATAAGTGAATAACTAACTCATCAATACACATACATGGCTACATTGGATTACCAACAAATTAATATCTGGTTATTATCTAGAAACATGAAAAATAAGGCAGAAACAAAATATGAATATGCCTGTGCAGATGAGGTTAAAAAGCTATTCAGAGTTGCATCTTTTCCTCCTTAAACCTAGTGAGATTTAAGCAGACAGATGAGGTTAACGAAAAAGAAGGTTGGCAAACCACCTGCACTGAAGCTTGCACCTGTGTTCAATATTCACCTTGGTTCAGTCTCAACTTTGACTGCATCAGGAACCCATAGAGTGCACATCTAACTAATTAGAAGTTTTTATGAGGCCATGATTTTCTTTTATTTGTTGGCATGAGGCAATCTCAGTCTTAAAATTGAGTCAATAATGTTTACAAAGCAGAACATTATAGTATGTCACATTTACTGGATTATAATCTTAATTACATTGTGAACAATAACAGGATCCCTAACAAACACTCTAATTACACTACATAAATATTACTGTTGAGGGTCATATTCATTGCGGGAGATTTTTAGCAGACTTTTTATAAAGTCACTAAGGCAAATCTGAACATTTAATAGCCCTCCCTTTGTGGTATTTTCCAACTGGTCCATGCGTATCTGTCACTCAATGATGGCAAGAATTATGTGCCTTCAGAAAGTAGAGTAGTGTACTACTACTGTTGTTTGAAAGTATTCCCAAACAGAAGTTGACTGAGGATTTTAATTGACATAATTCAGCTGTTTCCAGCCTCAACATTTCACCAGAACAGTAATTACCAGTATTAAAATGTTTTCCTTTCAGAAATTAGACTTTATAATTTGACTTTGATGAGATGCACTGGACTGGCAAACAATGTTTCTGCTCTTCTCAGATAGGTTCTATGTTTATGCAAGAATAGGAATCAGAAGTATTAGCAAATACAGGTTTTAGTTTAGTCAAAGCCTACTAAACAATGCTGAGACCAAATGCAATTCTCCTGAAGTTATACTATTGATGCAATTAGTAAAAACGCAGTCTGAAGGTTTTGGCCTTTAGGACAGTCTAAGAGATTACACTCTCCTAGAAAAAACAGTGCAACTTAACATTACAAATTATGCTAAATGTAATGCAGAGCTCTGTTGAGGGAACATTAAAACAAGAGCATGACATTCACGAGGTCAAACTTACCAAACCTATAGTCAGCTTGGCTGCCTACGTGTCAATTCTGTATTTCAATTATTCAGGCTGAAAACCATCACAAGATGATCAAGAAATTAAGAAGCTATTATCCAAGACACTGAAAGTTCTCAAAGCCAACTAAGAAAAGTACATCTTACACCAAGGACAATACTATCACTACAAACACAGGAAGCCCTCAGAACTTTTTTGATCTTTCTGTGAAGCTGGACTACAGAAACTGCCAGACTACAGAGACAATTTGTTAGTGCTACCCTCATGTGAGGAAAGCTAGCAACACCTGATGTGCATTTCAGTTGAATCAGTGTTGGTTAATGGGCACCTTATATTCAGTCAGTCCTATTCACAGTGGATTTAGTTACCTAATGACCACTTGCATCACGGGAGTAGCAGCAAAGCTGTTCTGCACCTGTGAACAGACCACAAGATGGGACAAGCACCCTCCAAGCAGCCTGACAGAGTCCAAACAATAAGTGACATCAAAGCAAAAAGCTGGACCCAGCTACTGAGCTCCCCTGAACTAGCAACACTGATTTAGTCAAATACCTGTCCAAACCAGCTTATTTCCCCCCCTTAAGAATAAATGGATTCTTAAGCTTGTATCTCACTTCTGACTTAAGCTAGGAGACTGTGGGGAGAGGAAGAATCATTTCAAGCAAGAAGGTGAACAGTTATTTTAATTTAAAAAAACACCACACACAAATACCCCCCCCAAACCACAAAATCCAAAAAACCCCATGAAACCACCCAGAAAAAGATGACACCTAGACACCAAGACAGGAAGAAAATGCCTTCCAGAGACTTGTTCATGAAGATTACGCTTGTGCTGAAGATCACAGCATCAAAGAGAACCCTAGTTTCAATGGGTTACTACGCAGTTAAGAGTCTCAGATTCTACCTACTCATCCCACTTGCAAACACGGGGCAAAAACTCAACTTCCATTGGCTGGTTTATCAGAGGTTTTTAATTTGATTTTCTTTTGTCAGGGCACAGGTGTGAGTAAGTGTCCCTGGTGAACAATAGGAGCTGTGTCCTTGCACACTGTCTGCTAAGTTTCTGATATCTGTATAATTCCCACATACTGTATTCTGTGTTGTGAATCACACTTAGGATACTTTTTATATCATTATTTTCTTCAAGCCATACTAATAGCTGCATGGGCAAGCAGGCTGAGATGAGAAAAATGCTAAAAATTTAGCAAAGGATTTGGATGAAATACTTTGTGTCTCACCCTGTTAAATCAAAATAAAAAGCCCTAATCCACAATTGTATTTTTTGGTTTGGATGGAGGGGCTTGAGGCATTCCATGAGAAGCAAAAACAGAAGAGTAGGTCAAGACCAGGCTTGTGGTAAGGGAGAGAGGACTTTTTCCTGTAACAGCTTATTTTCTGGTCCGACAATTCAGATTAATTTGTAGTATGAATGAATGCTCTCTTGGATTCAAAGAAAAACGGAAGACTGAAATTAACTCCTGTACTGGTCTTGTAGCTAAACTGCACAGGTTCAGTACCTTCAGGTCTAAAGATGAGCAGTGGTCAAGCAAGGCTGACTAGGCATATAATGTTCTCTGTTCTGAACTTTACACAGCTAAGTGCATCCTGACTACCATCCCACTGTTATGTTGCAAAATTCTTCCCAGATATATAGCAGACTGCCAAATACCAAGAAATTCATGTTCTGGCAATACTGAATTCCACTCGAGTCACCTTCTCATGATGAGCTGTGAGAGTGAACTGTCAGCATCCTGGTTCCATTCACCCACATATTTACAGTACAATCCACAGTGTCTTAACAACTCTTCTAAGACCATCTGCTGCCCAGTGTCATTAACAACTAAACTCCCCCTCAGCAAATGCTAGTAAAATTTGGCAACCCAATGCCTTTGCATTCTCCTGTGAAGCTTCAGTCACATCATGAAACCCCATTCATATTAAGTCTCACTTCACAAGACCAGGAATGGCTTCCCTCCCCGCCTTGTTCAATACTGGAAAATGCATACAGTGATTCACTATGACAGCTATAGACTTCACCTTGATTTCAAGAGCTTGGCTGAGTGAAAGAGAGGGTCTACAGGCTCCACACCAAGGAATAAGAGGACTTTGTTCGCGCTCCTGGAAATAAGGATTGGCAACTTGTTATGCTTCAGAACATTTTTTTTAAAAAAATGCTCTTTTTTGCCCTGAAGTTAGTGGCAATTCTTTAGGCACTAAAATATATTCTCAGCAGAGCAGCCTTTCACTCAAGGCAAGTTATTACATTTTATTCCTACATAAGCAGGAGCTGTTTAAAAGTTCTGATAAGATTTCCAAAACATACATAAGAAGGATTAAATGCTACTATTCAATGCCTATGTAACCCCACACCTAAGTGTCCTGGATCTGGACCTTTGTTCTCTCTCCACATCAAGAACCAGAAGCCAACACCAGACATCTATCTTTACTACAGGTCTGGTGTTGCCCTCTGTTGGAGAACAGATACTGGGTTAGATGGACCTTTTATCCAAGGCAGCTATCATGCAGAGCAACATGCTAAGAACATTTAAGTCAGTTAAAACAGCTTGGAATTAAGTGTCTCAGATGTAACCCTTTCTCATAAAGCAGGAAGTCAAGCGGTTCTCATACCA